CACCATCATTGGGTAGTATGGGTGCCAACTACAATCCTTACAGGAGCTCCATGAAACTTGAGTGTTGCAACTCAGCTCCACTTAACTATAACAATAAGAAGTTAAAAGCAACCTTAAAGTATTGATAGAGCTCAAATCTGACATTTATAGAAGTTGCAAGAGAAGGCATATATAAATGAAAATTGAGTGATAAATCTGTGCACATACCACATCATAAATGTAGACACACTATCACTAGTCCAGTGTAGATGTACTTTTGACCAGTGCTGCAAAAAATCGTTCGACAGAAGCATTAGTAAACGGATTTGGAGATTGTAGTGCAGCATCATTCATTTGTAATCAATTTCAAACCAAACAGGCAAAATCCATTACCTGTATCTGGGGAAAGTAACACGACTCAAAGTGCGCAAGACTGAATGTCCTTTATATGTGGCCAATGACTGATCATTGGATGTTTAAAATTCCTTTTATGCTCTGAATTCCATCCATCTGTAGTCCCAATCAGTAAATCTACGCTTGGACAGCTGGTTACAAAAAGATTAGAATATCAGAAATTCGAACTTCTGCAGAGAGTGAGGCTATAACTTAGCACAACCAAAAATTAGTCATCATCTCTGATGAACTAAATTTTTAACTCATTCTTCTTGCAAAATACAGAACTCTAAGTCAAAGAATAAAGATATATTAACAGAACACAAAATTAACTTATGGTTATATATAACCACCGCATGCTTTGATTAGACATAAATTATTACATGATTGAAAGAACCCACAGAATTAAGAATGAAAAGTTCACGTTTGTCTATGTTCATCTGGCTGTTATTTCCCAGGATCATCCACCTCTTCAGACTACATTTTCCATAATTTCTTAACATTCCAAACAAATAATAATCACCAAAACTTGATTCCCCGAATTTTTTTCCTTCCATATTCTCCCCAACAGAAGCCCCTAGTAATCGATGTTTTAAGAAAAAATAGTGAACTTGGAAACATGAATCAGGAAGGTAGACCTACTCTCTGTGTTGGTGGACATCTTCCGTATATCCCAGAGTTTGGTACTCTGATCTTTTCCATTTGAAATTAAATAGCGCCCATCCCTACGGCTGTCAATGAATGTAATGCCTTCCAGATGTCCTATCAAGACCCACTTGCTTGTCCCCTTGTAAAGCAGCGCCTGTCCCACACCTAAACAAGCTAACAGATAAGGGGTAAAAATCCTAGAGTAAATGTGACTAGAAGGTGGTGAAATAACTGCCTTGACTATTCAAAGATCGCCACAACGCAATTTTCTAAATGCAACATAAAAGGCTTGGTTTCCAAAGCTGAAGAAATAAATGAGTTACCTTGCGAGGTTATCATCACTTCCAAAATATATGATATTGCCAGTTTCATCCGCAAAACATACTGTGTTAACATCCGACTGCAAAAATTGCAAATTGGATAAAAGGAATTCAAATATCAGATTGCAAATGTATATGTATCTCAAATTGTCACTTTGACCAGCTATGTACCTGATGCGCATGAATTTGAAGGCTACACCTATTTGCTAGGAGATCATAACTATATATAATCGTCATTGCCTGCAGCAACAAGCTCTTGCCCATCAGTAGAAAATTTAACAGAGAAGATCCCAAATTCTTCGTCTTCGCCTCAACAGAAAAATCTAAACCTTCATGAATCTCCTGCACAATGCGAGAGAAGAAACTTCAGATATGAACAACATTTCATAATGAACCAACAGGTAGCTAGTCTGATTATTCTTTGCTTCAATAAAGAAGAAATGGCAAGTTGTTAACACTATGCATCACACTGAAAAAAAAATACAACTGCTTGAGCTTAAGGTTTTAAGCCACTTAACACATGCTTGCACACCCACAATAAACAATTGAACAAAAACATTTCTAAACGTGCCTTAATATAACCCACTCAAATAAGAAAAAGAGTTTTATTAATATTTAAAGTACGTATTAGGATAAAATATATAGAATGGGAGAGCCTTTTGGGTAGATGATTAAAGCTTCACTCATGATGGATAAGGTTTAAGAATGATATATCACTTCATTATTTTGCTTTTCTTTTCTTTTCATTGGCAGAGAGAGTCTGTCATCTGTAGATTAGGCATGATAGAATTTCAAATTTCAATGGGGCCTCATCCTCATTCGTCAACCTTGAGTCTGAACAATGGGGCCTTCATTCAATATATAATTCAATCCACAATTATAACCCGAAGGCCAATCGATCCAACCTACACTACAATAATAGAATTTCAAGGCCAAGTAGTACTTGTTGTGGGCAAATAATTCTAGTTTCTAGCTACAAGGTTCAATTTGTGAAAGTCAGTTGTCATTTCAAAGTGCTTTTTGGCTGTTGATGAAAGGAAGTAGGGTCATTGTGTATTGGGTTGGCCCCAAACGGAACCTAAAGGCAAACCATAGCTAGAAGTGGAAGTAGGTGATTGAACAAGTGTGTGCGATTAGCATTCATTCTAAAGAATAAATAATTTGGTTTCTGACTTCACATCATGAATGGAATTTGAAGGAAATGATGAGAAATTGACGTGGCAACTGCAAGCACTTCTTTGATTACCCAAATTTTGGGTCCTCTTTTTTGACGTGTTCAATGCTGCTTTGCTTATAGCATGCAGAAGAATCTTCACCTAAGACTATCAATTGCCTAGTAGAATATTCTTTGCTAATTCATTGTGATTCTTAATCATTCCAGGGCAACGTTTCTTTTCATTCCTGACTAGGTATAATCTTGTATAGTTTCAACTCTGGAATCTTTAAAAAAGCCCAAGATCAACCAAACTTTCCCCAAGCAGCCTGAGATAATTTTAGGCCCAGCTCATCCAACAATTTTTTGTTTACTTGAAGACTTGACATATTTTCTGGAGAAATACCAAGAGACATTGCAAGATTACAGCACTTAAGCCTATAACTGAAGTTGATTGTGGCAAGATCTAGACAGTAAACAAGAAGAAAGGAGTGAAACAACTTAATATTCATCTAACAAATAGGCAAGTTCTTCAAGGGTCAGAAGACTTGACTGACAAGAGATTTACTAAATAGTAATACCACACAACACATCTCTTCTCAATCATTCCTGAGTTTAACAATATCGACAAAATCAGTGCTATTGTAAGACATTTTCAAGTGCCTTTGCAAATCTATAATTGTGGCTGCATGCTCTCATCCCTGGGATTCAAAGACCTGATAAAAGTTATAAAAGACCTCATAAAATGCACTGCCTATACACATATCTTGAAGATCATAATGGAATCACATAACACCATTTCAGAAAAGTGGTCAATTAGAAGAGAAGAAGGCAGTAAGCAGTAGAAGAAAGGATGATAAAAATGGCATACGGCAGCGTCCTCTTCTAGTAAATAAGTAGAGCCTTCCCATTCCATTTATAACATAGAAGAAATTCACAGAATTATTCAAATAAACTCTATAGTTTGATTGTGATAAAGATATGTCAACATCAATTCTAATATAAAAACGCCCAACCCTCTTTTGATATGCACAACCAGTTTATTTCAAGCAAAACTTTATAAATGATTCAATTAAAATCTTTAGAAACATAGTAATTTAACATTTTAACTTCCCAACTCGTCACTCCCACTTCTTTGCAATGCTCCTAAACTGTAAGAAACGTGAGCCCACAACTATTTCAACTTCATTAAACATGAAAGAGGAGGGTTTTCTAATCAATTACTGTGTCAGTTTACAAGAGCCTTAAGTCTGACATTTTTTATCTCTTAATTCCGTCATTTATTTAAGAAAGCTGAAATATGAGTTACAAAAGCCCTTACTGGTCACTGCACACCTTCTATATATCTGCCTTCATTATCTGCTGCATGCTTTAATTATCTTGCTTGTGAACAAGTGATAATGCCTCCGTTCTTACTATTTTATCTTAAGTAAATTACTACTTCTCTAAGTTACATTACATAATACCTTCACACCCAGACTACTGTTACTTGAAGCCCTCCACGACCAGGTAAACAGTACATGAAGGTTACCAAAATATAGAAATTCTATGACTCAAGAGCAATATTGCTTAAGAGAAACATTCCTAAAATTCAACAATAGAGCTATTTTTTATTTTTTTTAAAGGTATGGTAATTGACCACCCCTTGGTACAACTCGAACTCAAGACCGGAGGCCACTTTCAACCATGCGCCTCTATATCCATCCGGCCACAAGTGGGTAGTTACAATAGAGCTATTTCCAATATTAAGATTTGTAAAGAGTAGAAATGATGGAAGAAAACAACAGAATCTACATCAATCCTAGCTGGTGGGCAACAAATTTACGCACCTAAATGACCTTAAGTAAAAGACTTCAACATATATCTAAGAACATAATAAGTATTTCGACATTTAAATTGCAGAACAAGGCTAAATCATCAGCACACGGCTAACTGGAACAGAAAAAAAAAAAAAAAAAGGAAAAAGGAAAAAAAAAATTGAACACTCACCAAAGAAATTAAGTTATTTAACCCAACGAATGAACTAACAGGATTAGGTGCAAAAAGATTCTAGGCTTACGAGAGCCCACCTAATGGCAGTATGGGGCAATCCTCAAAAATCCAAGAGCGCATGAACAAAACAAAAATGTAAAAAGAAAGCAATCATTATAACACCTAAAAGGATGTATAATGTGGCCACGCCATGTACAAGGCTGATCAGAAAGACACAATTATAATGAATTTATATTTTCACAAATCTTCCATGGTAATTAGCATTTAAGTGCAGCTCTCTTCTGCAAAAATGAATAGAATCAGAAAGCACAAAGTTTTCATATCCACCAAATGCTTCCACTCACTAAATAAATTGCTCTCATATCATGAGCATAGTTCTATTCAACAAACATTTTTCAAATCAAATTTCCATGTAATGCCATTTAAAACTTCAACTAAGTACCTGATCCAAACATACCAATATATCAAACATGAAGAAGCAAAATTGAGCACACAATTACGTACCTGAATCATTATACAAATATACCCATTTTTTTTCAATAGTACTATAATCTATATTTAACATTAATTGCATTGTACCAGATTTCAGACAAATTCCCATTAGCAAGCTAACAATGAGCAGTACAAATCCCCACAAATATAAACACTAATTATATTAAAACAACAAAAAAAAAAAAAAAAAAAAAAAAAAAAAAAAAAAAAAACCCAGATGGATTGATATAAATAACAGAGACTCACTACTTAATTGTGACATAATAACATTATAAGTAACCATTAAACACAAAACAAAAGCTTAAAAAAGAAGCCTACGAGTGGCACCGATTCTCTTTCCCCCAGAGTCTGACTCACCCTGCCACCATCCCACCGACTTCTGCGCCTCGTACACTATCTGACTTATACCTGAACATCAAAACGTCGAGGTTTCAAGAGACGGATTACATTGATTCAATATAAAAATTTAAAAAGTAGAATGATTGAATTTGAAGTAAACCTTGCTTTACAGTTTGTTTGTTTTCACGGATCTCTTGAACGGTGGCCGAGATTTTCCAGTAAAGAGGACGACCCACATAGAACAGTACGAGGATGACCATGACTACCATTACTATGCGAAACGACATTCTAGCTGTTGATGATGATGCCATTTTTTTTATTTTTTTTTCTGTTCATTTGATTCTCAACCGGCCAAGTTGTTCTTATATGGGGAACGGGTTCTAACTTTTTCAGGGTGTTGATATTGCCACGTCATATCGTCTTTTCAGATTCTACTGTATTGTGGACATATAAGTACGTATATATAACAGGATTAAAATATGATTTTTAATTAAAACTACATTTATATAAATAATTAAAGTCACCATAAATACATCTTAAAGATGTTTCATAAAGTTCACATTAAAAAATTAATTTAATTTAATAATCATTAAGTTGAAAGAAATAAAAAAAATAATTATAATAAGCCCTGTAACTTTATGGACTAATTAACATTTGGAGGCGTTTGGTTCAGGGAATATTGGATTACTGAAAAGTTAAATTACTTGAGAATCTTTAGGAAAATGTGTTTGGTAAATTAGTGGGTATATTATATTAATATGTTTGGTTGAGAAGAATAAATTGGTGGGTATGTTATTTAAATTATTGAATTGTCCTCTAATTAAATATTATTATTATATTATTTTTTAATATTGATTATTATTTAGATTATTATAACCCCTGTATTTAAAAACTTAGCAAAACAACCCCATAATAAAAGTTTAAAAAATCAATAAAGCATCCCTACCATCCCAGCTATTGCCGGTCGCCGACAACCTAACGGCGCACGAAAGGCAGGAAATGAACTTCGTGCACCGTATGACCATCTCTAATGGCTAGACGTGACAGATTTGGCTGTCAACGGCTAGATCAATGGCCGTTAATGGCCATCAACAGCCAGATCGATGGAGTGGCACGATCTGGTCGGAAATGGCCATATCGGCGCACAACGACCATTTTTGGCTTTTCGTGTGTCTTTCCGACGATGACTGGTCGCGGCGGTGGTTGCCGGCGGCAGGTGGGTGGAGGTGGTGGCCTGGATGTGTTGTAATTTGTTTTGAATTTAAGGGTAATTTTGTCCAAAAAGTTAAATTAATTGGGATGAAATAGTCAAAGTCATATTCATGGAAATAAATTCAAAAATAAGGGCATTATTGTCCTAAAATTTTATTAATAAGAGATAGAATTGTAACAAAAAAAGATAACCATGGTGATCTTAGGATACCTAAAAAAATGGAGGTAATCAGATTACCTCCAATATTACCAATAATAACCACTATTGATATTTGAAGATTATTGGTATCTTATATTAGTTGACAACTAAACATGGTAATCAAGTAATATAAGATGACTTAACCTCAATAAGCCCACATAACCTCCAACCAAACGCCCCTTGGTGTAATTTAATATTCACTAAGTTAAAAGCAATAAATAAATAAATAATAAGTCATGTAACTTTATGAACCGATTAACTATCTCTAAATAACCGAGTGATTCGATAAAAACTCTTGGGTGTATTATTCAAAAGGTCCCGAGTTCAAGTTCCTCCTCGGTTGCTAATAGAGATAGCCACTGAAGCTCTTATCCGATTAATAATTTTAGAATCCCGAAAAATTAATTGAGATGTGCATTAACTGAACCAAACACCTCCAGTCATTAAAAATAAAATAAAATAAAAAAGGAACTTTATGGACCAATTTAGATTGTTTCTTAAAATACACATTGAATACTATCCGGCGCCATTATTGCATTTGAGTGGAATTGTGATGAACTATAAAGAGTCTTTACAAATGAAAGTGGGCTATTTATTTGCACTAAACTTTATGTAAAACAAGAAGGGGAACCTCTATATGTAAGCATTTAACTATACGAAGTTTTTAACTCCACTCATTCTGAGGGGTCAACCACGATTCAACAATAACAACACAAGTAGTCATAAGTTATGATCATCTTCGTACTATCCCAAAGATCAAAAACTCATCTATAGAAAACTCTTGTCCGACGCCCACGAGCACCCGGCTTCGCTCGTTGTACTTCGGCGGCTCTGCCAGCTGGCCCAGGGAATTGCCATCTCACAATCCTATGGTCCCAGGAGGAGCTCACCATCATTGGGTAGTATGGGTGCCAACTACAATCTCTTACAGGAGCTCCATGAAACTTGAGTGTTGCAACTTCAGCTCCACTTAACTATAAACAATAAGAAGTTAAAAGCAACCTTATAAGTATTGACTAGAGCTCAAATCTGACTATTTATAAGAAGTTGCAAGAGAAGGCAATATATAATATGAAAATTGAGTGATAAATCTGTGCACATACCACATCATAAATGTAGACACAACTATCACTAGATCCAGTGTAGATGTACTTTTGACCAGTGCTGCAAAAAATCGTTCGACAGAATAAGCATTAGTAAACGGATTTGGAGATTGTCAGTGCAGCATCATTCAATTTGGTAATCAATTTCAAACCAAACAGGCGAAATCCATTACCTGTACTCTGGGGAGAAGTAACAGCGAATCAAAGTGCGCAAGACTGAATGTCCTTTATATGTGGCCAATGACTGATCATTGGAATGTTTAAAATTCCTTTTATGCTCTGGATATTCCATCCATCTGTAGTCCCAATCAGTAAATCTACGCCTTGGACAGCTGGTTAACAAAAAGATTTAGAATATCAGAAATTCGAACTTCTGCAGAGAGTGGAGGCTATAACTTAGCACAACCAAAAATTAGTCATCATCTCTGATGAACTAAATTTTTAACTCAGTCTTCTTGCAAAATACAGAACTCTAAGTCAAAGAATAAAGATATATTAACAGAACACAAAATTAACTTATGGTTATATTATAACCACCGCATGCTTTGATTAGACATAAATTATTACATGATTGAAAGAACCCACAGAATTAAGAATGAAAAGTTCACGTTTGTCTATGTTCATCTGGCTGTTATTTCCCAGGATCATCCACCTTCTTCAGACTACATTTTCCATAATTTCTTAACATTCCAAACAAATAAATAATCACCAAAACTTGATTCCCCAAGGAATTATTTTTCCTTCCATATTCTCCACCAACAGAAGCAGCCCTAGTAATCGATGTTTTAAGAAAAAAATAGTGAACTTGAGAAACATGAATCAGGAAGGTAGACCTACTCTCTGGTGTTGGTGGACATCTTCCGTATATCCCAGAGTTTGGTACTCTGATCTTTTCCATTTGAAATTAAATAGCGCCCATCCCTACGGCTGTCAATGAATGTAATGCCTTCCAGATGTCCTATCAAGACCCCACTTGCTTGTCCCCTTGTAAAGCAGCGCCTGTCCCACACCTAAACAAGCTAACAGATAAGGGGTAAAAATCCTAGAGTAAATGAGTGACTAGAAGGTGGTGAAATAACTGCCTTGACTATTCAAAGATCGCCACAAACGCAATTTTCTAAATGCAACATAAAAGGCTTGGTTTCCAAAGCTGAAGAAATAAATAGAGTTACCTTGCAGAGGTTATCATCACTTCCAGAATATATGATATTGCCAGTTTCATCCGCAAAACATACTGTGTTAACATCCGACTGCAAAAAATTGCAAATTGGATAAAAGGAATTCAAAATATCAGATTGCAAATGTATATGTATCTCAAATTGTCACTTTGACCAGCTATGTACCTGATGCGCATGAATTTGAAGGCTACACCTATTTGCTAGGAGATCATAAACATATATATAATCGTCATTGCCTGCAGCAACAAGCTCTTGCCCATCAGTAGAAAATTTAACAGAGAAGATCCCAAATTCTTCGTCTTCGCCATCAACAGAAAAATCTAAACCTTCATGAATCTCCTGCACAATGCGAGAGAAGAAACTTCAGATATGAACAACATTTCATAAATGAACCAACAGGTAGCTAGTCTGATATTTCTTTGCTTCAATAAAGAAGAAATGGCAAGTTGTTAACACTATGCATCACACTGAAAAAAAAAATACAACTGCTTGAGCTTTAAGGTTTTAAGCCACTTTACACATGCTTGCACACACACAATCAAACAATTGAAAACTGAACTTACAGTGAAATACATGTACCTAACAACAGTTTTAACATAAACTGGAACTTAATTATCATACATAATCCTTCAAAAGTATGGGTTTGGCAACATTCAAGGGAAACAGACACCACTCTTCTAAATGCAGGGTATGCAGTTAGACAGAGCACCTAGTGAGTCTGCACTAGGAGGTTCTATTCCTCAAATCACTTGTTCGAACAAACTTTATAATATCGACTTGTACTTGATTAAGTTAGTAGTCCAGAAGAAAGGGTTACTGACAGCATGAAATCAAGTTTACTATAACAGCAAAAAATATGGGAGCGGTTGGTTACATCTATGTATAAGCAAAAACCTAATATACATCACGGATTCAAAAAATAAATTGAAATGTAGACAGTCCACCCAAAATGAATAGTCCAATATTGTATTTGCCTATGCAATTTGGAAGTGGCATGCAACTTCTCAACTGTTGTTCATCACAGTTAAACATTCTAATAGCATCCACAAACATATTATAAAGACAGTCAATAAAATAGAACTAATATAATAAAAACGAAAAATCTGTGCATGCACTACATTTGGCACATGAAATCTGCATAGTTCTCTAAAACTTATAGAAGGGCTGATTAAACTAGTTGGTAACCCTGTCAGATATAACTTGTGGTACATACCGTGACGTTTGCAACTGACTCGGTTGCCCCAGATCCAACATTTACAATATGAGCAATAGTATTCACACTAGAATAAACCTGCAAAAATCAGATTAACAAAGAAAGTTAATCTATAACAAGTCCAGTCTTCAATTAAAATTCTCAGTTGATCCGTAAAAATGACTGGCAAAGAGATAAACAAATAAAAATTCAAAGGTCCAACAGACAGCAGTATGATTGAATAACAACTCTATATAAGAACTAAGAAGCCAAACCAAGTATCCAAGATATTCTGATACAAAGTCTCCAATTTGCCACAAACAGCATCCAAAGATACTTTGAGGGAACCAATGTAAAAATGATGCGATCACAAAAGAAACTAAATAAAACTAAGGATATTATAAATTGTTACTAAAATTGTACTAGTATCTTCCCTTGCTCATACATAGAGGGTATGTCAACATTACAAGAAACTCTTGTACATTTTGGTTACTGTGATAGCTAGATTAAATATAGGATTTAGAGGTCAGGTTCAAAAAAAATCTTGATGTCTAATTGCCATGTTCCTAACTGCATATCAGGGTAATTTAAAAAAAAAAAAAAAAAACAAAACAAAACAAAAAGAAGACTTAACTACTCAACAAGTATAAGGAGAAGAAGCCATGCTCAATCTAATCAAACCAATCTAAGTCTTTACAAATTAATTATGTCTCACTTCAATTGCAAATTTCATTTCCCATCCCAATCATACACCCACATGCTTCTTTTCCAAAGACAATCACATAATTACAAGAAATTGTTGATCTGGTGAAAGAGATGCATCAGTAATAGTCCATCTCATGTGTTTGGCTTCAATATCCTTCCGAACTTTCCAATTCCTATCCACATCATATATCCTGATGTGACCTCCCTGTTTAAGAAAAAAATGCACAAGATTTAAAAATAAGGTTATAAAGACTTGTGCACCGTCCAATAATACTAGGAAGTTTGCTTAGAACACGATTTCAGCCCCAGCCAGAGATGTGAAACGTCATACCTGAGATCCAGCAACAAAAAGAGAACCATCAGCAGAGAACTGTGAAATGTATACAGGTTTCTTCAGCTGGTCTACACTCCAAGGGCCACTAAAAGGAAAATATTTGCTTAAAACATGAGATTCATCTGCTGCTGAGAATCTAGTTCTACCAGTATAATTGGCTTCCCGACCTGCCAACATTTTGAAAGTCGAAACTGGTAATCTCAACCTATCAGTTACTGTCCAACTGAAGCGTTTATTGGGTGCTGATCTAAGCTTTGTCAGTTGAACAAAGTCCTTGTAAAGCTCAACCGGATCCTCCTCCTCCTTCTTACCTTTAACAGGATCCTTACCGCTTTGCTGACTTAAAGAAGGGCCAATTGGAGCATCTTCATCATCTAAAGTTTCAACAGGTATCTCATAACAACTCATTCTGTATCAAATGTAAACTTCTACAGACTCGATGCTTCAGCTTCAAGCCGTCAGTGTTATCTACAACACGAAATTTCTAACCCTACAAACAAAATGATCACCATTTAGACCATAAATGCCACCACTTCTTGATCAAAAACACAATATTCATGAGCTCAAAAAGAAAATAAAACTAACCAAACCACTCACATAAATCAAAAATCCAAACATAATCAATTAAAAATCAATTTCTAAAAAAAAAAAAAAAAAAAAAAATTCCTTTATCAATGAGAAAGTGAAGTAATAACACAGACCTTCATTAATTCAAGAAACCAACCCATACATAAAAATCACAAGAAAAAGAAACAAAAATACGAAATTTATAATTAAACAGCAATGACACACTGTTACACCTTCATTAATTCAAGAAACCAACCCATACATAAAAATCACAAGAAAAAGAAACAAAAATACGAAATTTATAATTAAACAGCAATGACACACTGTTACATTCCCCTCCAGTAACTAAACAATCATCCAACGGCCAAAGAAACTGAAATTACTTAAAGGGTATGTCAAGTTTTGAGGGTCTTGAATTTTTCAGCTCATAAACCATACAAAGAACAAAAAGAAATAAGAAATTACATGAAATGAAGCGAGAAAAAAATCTGCCTGACCTTATTTGGTAAGCTGGAGAATGAAATGAAGAAGGGTTGTTGACGGATCAGAGTCTTATTGAAGGAGATTTCGCTTAGTTTCTTGGACTAAACGCGCACCGAAGAGACACAACAAACGATCATTGTTAAGGACAGTTTTTGGAAGTAGTGTGACACGTATAATGCTTAATTATTTTGGCCACGCGCGCGTCACTGCGCGCTTCTTAAAATGTGCGCTGTCCGAATGCTGACATATTTGCTGAGATCTCCGATCAAACGAAGAAAAACAAAAATAGTATGTATTCCACAACATGGGGGATCTCAACACGTGGCACCATATAAAAAATTTGTTTTTTTCCTACATAATATTAAGAATAAAAAATAGAATTACATTTTAGGAATATTGTGTGATGCTTTTATCATAGATCTTTGAAGTTAGAACTTTTGCTATTGACTTCATTAAAGTTCAAAGTTAAAATTTATAAAATATATTAACTTTAATGAAGTCAAAGTGACTGAGTAATTAATTAAAGCTTTCGTATATATTACTCAAAAAAATTTAAATTCGATTTGTTTTTATTGTTAATAAGATTGACTACCGGATAATTACCCAATTATTAATTTTAAGTTCATAAGGCTATTGTGTTAATCACTGGTATATGTAACTTTGGTTATGTAACTTCAGAAAAACATGTTACACCTTGCAATGTTAAGGGGTATCAAAGTAAACTTTTTTTCTTTTAATTATCGAAAGTGTCAAACCTGTTTACGCACACCTCAATTAATTTTTCAAGGTCTTAAAACTTGTTGAAGTAAACTTCTACCAACAACATTATTTTGCATCGGTAAAGGGAACATCAGGTAGACAAGAGAATTCTTGTGGTAAAAGAATATGTTAATTCACTGTTATAATTCAATTATATATATATAAATCAATGTTTCAATAAGATAAAATAAATTTTACAATGCTAAACAGGAACAAGATTTTAGTGAATTGGATAAAATAAAAGCCAACTACTTTCTCATTCAAGTATACAAGCTCATGCATCAACAATGGCACAAGTTGAAGATCACTGTTTACTGCATTCTCCATTGGTTGTCACATGACATAATTCAGATCATTTGCATCCTCTGGCTGTGTTTGAGCTTGAATTATTGAAACCAACTGACAAAAATCTTGTGCCAAAATCGCGTTGATCAATCGAAGATTTTCTCCAAAAGCCTAATCATTCAATCAATATATAGCTCTGTTATTGTCTATGAGTTGATGCATGCCTGGATTTCTTCTAGTGTTTTTCCCTTCGTTTCCGGAACTAACTTTGCCACGAATAGGATGGTCATCACAGAGAATCCAGAATAGACAAAAAAAGTGCCTGAAAGATGATAGATATGTGTAATGGAGTCAGTTCTGAAACAATGCGTAGATACTAATACTTCCCAGTTTTAATTTTGTGCGACGTTGAAAAGTTCTTTTTACCCGCGGAACTCCAGCTCATGAGAAAATTGAAAGTATAGGAAACTGCCCAAGCACCTAACCAATTCACCAACACCACCAAGCTTCCTGCTACTCCCTTCACATTTATGGGGAAGATCTGCCAGGGAAAATGGTTTAAGGTTACTCGTTGTTGAACTTATAGGCGATTGAATACAGGAGGCAGAAATAGAAATGTTTAGTCGTACATTTTACATTATGTGCAGCAGATTTGAACTCTTCATCAATTGATATTGTAAATGAGTAAATGGCATTTAAATCTAGCTTGAAACAGAATTCAGAATGTAGCATATTCGAATAGTCTGATTTTAAGGCCTGGAATGTCCAAACTTCATCAAACTTACCTCAGACATTATCACCCAAGGAACTGCTCCCATTCCAAATGAAAATGCTGCTATATAAATCTGATTACATTGGAAAAAGATAAAACAATGTTCAAGTCTGTAGAAAAGAATGATATATGTCAAATATTAAATTCTCTCTTACGACGATTAACTTACCAGAACTCCACAAACAGCTAATAGTGGCACCCACTCAAGCAACAAATTGTGGCTCTGAGTGCAAAGATCATGAAACAAGTTTAGAACAAACTAAAACTGAAAGGACTAGGCAAAAATCTTCAAAGAGATAGAGATGATTTTGATGCTTGCCTTAAGAAAGAAGGAACTTCCAGTTNTCAAGGTCTTAAAACTTGTTGAAGTAAACTTCTACCAACAACATTATTTTGCATCGGTAAAGGGAACATCGGTAGACAACAGAATTCTTGTGGGAAAAGAATATGTTAATTCACTGTTATAATTCAATTATATATATATAAATCAATGTTTCAATAAGATAAAATAAATTTTACAATGCTAAACAGGAACAAGATTTTAGTGAATTGGATAAAATAAAAGCCAACTACTTTCTCATTCAAGTATACAAGCTCATGCATCAACAATGGCACAAGTTGAAGATCACTGTTTACTGCATTCTCCATTGGTTGTCACATGACATAATTCAGATCATTTGCATCCTCTGGCTGTGTTTGAGCTTGAATTATTGAAACCAACTGACAAAAATCTTGTGCCAAAATCGCGTTGATCAATCGAAGATTTTCTCCAAAAGCCTAATCATTCAATCAATATATAGCTCTGTTATTGTCTATGAGTTGATGCATGCCTGGATTTCTTCTAGTGTTTTTCCCTTCGTTTCCGGAACTAACTTTGCCACGAATAGGATGGTCATCACAGAGAATCCAGAATAGAGAAAGAAAGTGCCTGAAAGATGATAGATATGTGTAATGGAGTCAGTTCTGAAACAATGCGTAGATACTAATACTTCCCAGTTTTAATTTTGTGCAACGTTGAAAAGTTCTTTTTACCCGCGGAACTCCAGCTCATGAGAAAATTGAAAGTATAGGAAACTGCCCAAGCACCTAACCAATTCACCAACACCACCAAGCTTCCTGCTACTCCCTTCACATTTATGGGGAAGATCTGCCAGGGAAAATGGTTTAAGGTTACTCGTTGTTGAACTTATAGGCGATTGAATACAGGAGGCAGAAATAGAAATGTTTAGTCGTACATTTTACATTATGTGCAGCAGATTTGAACTCTTCATCAATTGATATTGTAAATGAGTAAATGGCATTTAAATCTAGCTTGAAACAGAATTCAGAATGTAGCATATTCGAATAGTCTGATTTTAAGGCCTGGAATGTCCAAACTTCATCAAACTTACCTCAGACATTATCACCCAAGGAACTGCTCCCATTCCAAATGAAAATGCTGCTATATAAATCTGATTACATTGGAAAAAGATAAAACAATGTTCAAGTCTGTAGAAAAGAATGATATATGTCAAATATTAAATTCTCTCTTACGACGATTAACTTACCAGCACTCCACTAACAGCTAATAGTGGCACCCACTCAAGCAACAAATTGTGGCTCTGAGTGCAAAGATCATGAAACAAGTTTAGAACAAACTAAAACTGAAAGGACTAGGCAAAAATCTTCAAAGAGATAGAGATGATTTTGATGCTTGCCTTAAGAAAGAAGGAACTTCCAGTTAGGATGCAGCCTAGGAAAATCCCAGTGGCAGAAGTCTGCATAAGCAAAAGCTTATAGTTATTTAAATGCCCTACTTCTTACTGATTTAACTATCAAACTGTAAACTACGAAAACTAGTATTACCATTATAAGTGGTCGTCTTCCAGACTTGTCGATTAATACTGCCCCTACTATGGTTATCGGAACCTGTGAACCACTTTTAGATTAGATTAAGTTTATTTGGAAAATTCTGATAATTAGGATTCTCAAGGCTGGTCATCAGTGGCAGAAACCAATACCTGAACACAAGCATAAGCTATTGTGCCAATTTTTCCTGAAGAGAGCCCTGCAGTTTACAAAGTAAGTAAGTTTCAACAACGAGTAGAAATAAATAAAACCAAAAATAATGTATAGAGGGTATGATTTACCAGCTTGAACAAAGGTTTCACTAGCATAGAATCCAACTCCATTGATTCCAACAAATTGTTGGAATACCATCAATGCCACACCAATCTTTACAGCACCACCAAATTTCAAAAATGTTAAGAAACCACGAAAAATTTATGAGAAATCCACAAAAGATAAAGTTAATCTCTCAAAAACTAAACAGATTTACTTACAATCACAGAACGAATGTATCTGCTGTCGAACAAATCCATCATTCTAGCTTTGGGAAGGCTTTCAAGGGTTTGAATACAAACCTATGGAGAAAAGAAACTTGGTTTCTCAAACATATAAAATTACAGGCTTTTAATGGATGTTCTGTCATTTAAGGTAAATACTTGGATTTCAGCTGCTTCACGCGTAATATCAGCATCTTTGCCACGAAGTTTTCTTAAAGCAACTTGAGATTCCTTTGGAAGGCCAACCTTTGCCTGCAATTCCAAACATCACTCTTCATTTGCATACTGTTTCAAAAACAAAGGGTGTAGCCTTTATAATAATCAAACACTCACCAGCCATCTGGGTGACTCTGGCACAAAGCATATACCCACTAGCAGCAAAATGCATGGAATAAGCCCTTAAAATCAAACCCAACAATCAGTCCTTTCTTCATTACTCTTTTTCTTAGTTTTAAGTATAACTCCACGTTTATGAAATAAGTTCAAACATGTTCCCATAATGAAAAAATAATACAAATTTACATCCCAAAAATTCAGAATTTTACCAATTAGAGCCAGCAGTCTCCAGGTTATGACAGTTCCAATTAAGAATGACACTGATGATCCTGTAACAATCATGAGCTGATTCAATGTAGTGAGTCCTCCACGGAGATTCTTCGGAGCTATCTCAGCGACAAATATCGGAACCTGTTCATCCACTTTCTTAAATTCGTCAGAATTTGAAGACATCATTATTCAGTACGCAACAAACAAAGAGAATCAAACAATTACCACATAAGAGAAGACTCCAATTCCATATCCTGTGAAAAGCCTTCCCATGTCAAGAGACCAAGCTCCCTGTATTGTAACCAATCAAAGAAGCAAAATTAGCTGCATGATTCAAGTTGGTTTAAAGAACACACCAATCCTGAGAAGCCAAAATGTGCACATAACACACATACGTGAGAGAAATAAACAGCTAGCCATCCAGTAATGCAAAAAACAGCTGACATTCTCATTGCCTGTCTCCATGAAAATACCAAATAAGTTAATATTTGAAGGACTGGGCTTAATTAACAAAGTTTAGTGACTGCTTTACAAAATCAAACATACCCCTTTGCGGCCAAGGAAGTCTGCAACCCGGCCACTTGTTATAGCACCAATCATTGCTCCAATTGTTAAAATGGAACCAAACATGGAGAACTGCAATTTGATAGAAATTAGTTTTCATATTTTATAATTAATAAAATCATTAGAAGGGAATTGAAGAGATATATAAGGCTAACCTCAGCCAGAGATAAATTAAGATCTTCCCTAATAGCAGACTGAGTGGGAGCTGAATAGCCCACCTGCCAAAACAATAACTTAAGCTAAACAAACCTTTTTGTTTTTGGGATTATTTTCAACCCTAAACCAAAAAACAAAAACAAAAACAAAAATAGACTTAGTAACCAAGAACTTTGCTTAATCCAGGAAAAATACTACTGTTTCTGAAAGCTGCTGTGATTGATATTTAACAGGAATGATTTGTACAATTAATGAAGTTAATCTACTTACACATGAGCCGAATTCAAAAGAGCCACAGACAGCAACAAATGTGCTAAGTAGAACCATCCAAATGGATCCACTTTCATCATTCTTATCATCATCTTCATAACTCACAATTTTCCCCGGCTGGATGAACGGCTTTTCTAGATCTTCAAAACCGTTCACAATCTCACCATTTTCAACATCCCTACAATGCCCAATTGCCATATCGCCAATCTCTCTCTCACACACAAACAGCTTAGAGCAAGAAGCAATTAAGACTTGTACTTTTTTAGCACTTATGCATGAAAAATACGTTTAGAACAAAAGGTTTATATACATGAAAGTGGTGCAATTATCTACGCAAGTAGCAAGATATTTATTAATAAATTTGTCTTGTTGTGCATTAATGAAAAGAAAAATCATGGAGCCTTATAGATAGTTTCGTGATGACTGTGTGTTTCCATGTGGGAAAAAAGCTGTCACTGACGTGATTATTACCATTGATGAATGTACCAGTAAGTTGCTAGCTTGCACCAACCAAATAAAAAAATCCATTTGAGATTTGATATAGTTTCCATCTGGAGTCTCTTGTATGAAAAGTAAAATTTTTTATTTTTTTTCCTTTTTTTTTAATCAAATACTTAAGTGGGCATTAACAAGAACTGACGGCTCAGAATTGCTCTGTGTAATCTCGACCCTGTTGGCCTGCAAAGTTGAAACCATGTGAACAGCTTAATGAACAGTAATAACATTATCTCATTAAAATTATTGTCCATCACTGTAATTATTCTTAGAAAATAAGATTAGGATTCTACTCTGATAGTCTGATATGAGTTTTAACTTTTACCCGAATAAAATTCATTGATAAGAATATCGCTGAATCGTTGATCCAACCCTGTAACTATTTTTCAGGAATCTTTTCTTATCTGAGTTTTACCTGAATAAAATAAGCTTGGGATAATTCAAGTAAAAAAGGACAATAATTTTAGAGGATAAGATATTTTTTTCAAATGATTAAGCCATGTCAGATTAGTCCCACGTGGTGGGAAGAATCATTACTTTTTAGGTAAAAGAGTGATTAACTTGGGATAATTTATTTGGCTATGTTGCTGTACTTTTTGTTTTTCTTCTTTTTAGATGCACCAAGAATAGTTCACATTACATAAAGAAAAAGAGAACTAGAACTTTAATATGCTTCAGATTAAATTATTACCCAGATGGTTTTTTTATCTTTCTTGAGCTTGAGTCCTCTCAGACACTAATAGGAATAGTTATAAGAGTTCTTATCCGATCGACAGTTCTAAGCTTTCAAATGATTAATTAAGGTGTACGCAAACTAATTTAGACATCTCGATGATTTAAAAAAAAAAAAAAAGCTAAACATCTTTTCATTTTCCATATGATTTGTTATTTAATTGAAATATAAATAACTGGTTTAGACACCCCGATAATAAAAAGAAGAAAAAGGAAAAAAAAAGGCTAAATATCCTTTAATTTGCCATGTGATTTGTTACATAATTGAAATATAAATAAACAAAAGGCTAAACATCTTTTCATTGGCCACGTGATTTGTTGCTTAACTGAAATATAAATCATTTGCTTGATCCCTGAATTGATCAAGAACAAAGTTTCAGATTGGTTCAATCCCTGGATTTACCCTCTTCATCTTAAATGCCCAAGTTTTTTATAATTTTTGCAATTGGATCCCTCCTCCCTGGTTCTGCCGACTTCCCATGGCCCATAAAGCCATAACTATTAATTTCCATAAATTCAAACTAAAATTATACTTGCTTTTCACTTTGCTTCTTTTGTCAAAATGGCAACTTGGTAAGAAAAAGAATCCCATTTCCCTTGTTGATGATGGTTGCCAGAAATCAATCCATCAACCACGCCCACAATTAGGTCACGTTTGTTGGCTTTAATTAATTTAGTAGGATTAAACAAATGAAATTAACATTATCTTGGTAGGGCATATAATGAACAAAAGACAAATTAATAAATGCAATAATTAGCTGGATGAGATTAGCCCAAATATGTATCTTAGGAAGTGTATTAATTACTCGAAAACATTCATGTGAAAGATTAGGCGATACCTATTTTTGGGACCCAATTTATGGAGATACCAACAAGGCAAAGTGAACAATCTGAGTCACAATCTACGCAGCAAACTCTAATTTATTGTGCGAATAATACAAAAACTTGGACCCAATCTTTGCTTTTGTTTTCATATTTTATTTGAACAATACTCATGACATTGACATGATGAGAGTGGGAATGAGATAATAAAGTGCAATACTATACTTACAATCTGATCTTGTAAACTTTCTCTTACCACTTTGATATGATAATTAGTCATTGATTTTTGATAAATTTTCTCACCTGACCAATTGCGAATTGCTACATTGAGGTTGTGAGAAAAAGTTTGTGAAATTGAATTGTGAATCAATTTTTATTGTTTAATAAAATCAAGATTAATTTAACAACGAAAATACTAGTTAATTGCGTTTTCAAACTAAAAATGACGAGCATTTTTTAATTTACATAGTTAAAGCCTTCATTTTTGTGTAGGACACGACCATTCCTCTTGTTGACGCTTGATTTTGGACGCCAACGACTCGCACGTGGAAAACGTTGAGCTGACTCAGGAGACACACGTGATAGATCCATGAGATTTGAATATGGAGCTGAGATTATATATTTTGCAGAAAAAATAAATAAAAGATTGGCAAGAGGGGTTTTTATAGTGGTTCGGATGCAACAAGCGACTCCTACATCCACTGTTATTTTATTTGATCTCTCACTACTTCTATGAATTTGCCCGTAAGGCATACAAAGATGAAGAAATACTGTGTTTTTACAGAGAGAAAGAATTGAAGCTAAATCTCAGCCCAGCCTCCTTTCTTCGGGAAGATGAGTGCCCATTTATTCACATTTGTACTCAATGCCATGAGAGCTTTTGCAAACTGCCTTGACACATGGAAGGCTCTCGTCCATTCATCTCTTTGAAATGAGATAAAATTAGTGAGAATATCTTTGGAGATATGGGCTTGGCAACTGGTACAAAGAGACATTAATTGTGCTGACATAGGCTTGACTTTTGAGGCATAACACCTCTCATTTGCTAAATTATGTAAAGTAAATTTTACAAGTTATTTCTAAATTTTATCCGAAATTGACATACATGTATCAGGTTTGGGGTTTTTCATAGTCCAACACTCTCATACTATTCCTAAACTATGCACAACCCACCTTTTTACTAACGCTCTCAAAAAAGCACTAATGATGCAGGGCTATTTTAGTAATCCCACCCCATCTTCATAAATCATAACTAGTCCTCTACCCGAAAACTCTTTCATCAATCCTATCACTTTCTATGACATGTCATGCAACTTGAAACCATCGGCCTTGATTTTTACTAAGGTTTTAACTTTTTTATTTTTCTAAAACTTAATTTGTGCATATCTCCATTAATTTTTATAATTTTTGGAGATGACAATATCCTATCACCGTAATCACCTATTTAAATCTTAAGAGTAAGAGAGCTGAGGTTTTAACTTATTTTTTTAGTTTATGGGTTTTTCACCTAAAATATATATATATATTTTATTGGAGGTTCCTTAGTTTTTAATCTTTAATTTATTTATTAGTTTATGTGTTTTAAAATTTTCATTAAAAATACTATTCTATTATGGGTTTGTTTTTCAGTTCATGGGTTTTAATATTTTCACTTTCGTTATAAAAAAATAGTGCATATAGGTTTATTATTTTTTTTAGTTTTTGGTCTTTAATGTTTTCATTTTAAAGAAGAAAAAAGATATTTTTTGTAGGTTTGAGAGTTATTAATTTTTTTAAATGAAAAATCAAAATTGTAATTCCTTTACTTTTTTGTGGTATTATTTTGCAAATGTCAGCTCAATTTTTATAAGAAGGGTAAAATTGTTAAATATCCTATTCCCATTACTCAAAATTTGACCTAGTTAACGTTTAAGGTTGAAATTATTAAGGAATAAAATCTGATTTTATTCCCTTATTATCATGATTATTATAATATAGTCTTTCCTTATAGTTTTGATTGATTTCATTATTAGTATGATTGTCTTTCCTTATAGTTTTGATTAATTTCATTATTAGGATGATTATATTTCCTTGAATAGAATATGTTGAACTTATATATTGTACACCTTTATTAATATTGAATACACAAGCTTTTATACATTTCTTCGTGGTATCAGAGCAGTAATTTCTCTTAGGTCCTAAAACTCTGAAAGCTGATAGTATCCCCCCTACATATAGGGTTTTATCTTTTTCTTCTTGCAGTCGCCTCCCCTTAACTTTGCGATCTTGCAAAGTCACCCCTGTAATTTTTTTTTTTTCAGATCACGACTGCCAGCTTTCTCGACTCCGACGATTGTTCAACTTCCTCGGCCCCAATGACGATTCTTCTTCCGCTAACGACTCTTTTCTTTTCCGGTCATCTTCCAATCAGCGCCAGCCAATATTCTCCGATCATCTTGTCTCGTTTTCATCTCCGATGATTGCTTTTTTTTTTTACATATTTGCTTGCTCCTCTCAGCCGCTGCGATCTGCGCTTCTCCGGTGATCCTTTATCCTCACCAACTGTGCTCCAACCGACTTCTTGGTTTGCCTTCTTGAAGTGTTCTGTTTTCATAGTAGATTCGTCATCTTCAGCTACCTCATAGTCCACCACTTCAGCTGTGACCACCAGCACTTCAAGCATCCTCTTCTCGGTCCACTCTGCATCCTCAGTTGTTTAGCCGACGATCTCCCTGCCATCCTCCTCCCTCTCCATGGGCAGTTTCCTTTACCAACCACCACACCAGGAGGTTTCTCTTACTCAGGTGCTCACTTCCACGACTGGTTTATCTCACTCGTCGACACTTATTCCACCCCAACCATAGTCTATGTTGTTACCACCCTTGCATACCACAGTCAACATTGGAAGCTACTTTTCTTCTCTCATGGAACGCGATACGTATCGCACCTGGAAGTCCCAGTTTCTTGATGTCCTGGCTATCCACGACCTACAACATGTCATTGCTGGTGATGCCCGTCCTTCTACACCCTTCCTCTCTGATGGCACTACCAACCCAACTCATTCCCATTGGTCACAAACCGACAGATTGGTTCTGACATGGATAAAATCTACAGTTTCACCCTCTATTGTCCAAAATCTTTTACTGCCATGCACCATTGTTGCCGAAGCTTGGATCATACTTAACCGTCGCCTGAATCCTCTATTTAGTGTTCACCTTCGGTCTACTCTTGATCGATTGCACAATCTTCAAAAGGCCATTGACCAATCAATGATTGATTATCTTATTGATGCTAAATCTGTGTTTGATTCTCTTTCTACAGCAAGCTTTCCAGTTCTAGAATCCAATTTTGTGGAATATAATGTTGATGGCCTCGGTCCAAAATATCAAGGATTCATTACCGCTCTCCATCTTCGGCCTTCCACTACCTTTGATGAATTGTTTGATCTTCTAGTTTATGAAGAGCGGCTTGAACAGAAAAACTCAAGCTTGTCCGCTGAGGCTGTGCCCATGGCTGCTAACCGCACTTCCTTACAATCATCTGGGTTTTCTTCCAACAGGCGCAACTACCATTCTCGCAATCGGGGCAATCGCGGGGGAGGTCGTGGTGGTCAGAATTATCAGTCACGCCAGCCTCCTCCGCTTTCTTTCTAGCCTCCTCTGCTGCCTACTCCAACTGGTGTTCTTCCATAGGGTGCTTGTCAGATTTGCGACAAACATGGGCATTCCGCTCGTGTTAGTCCCTAGCGGGGCAGCTTTGCATAGTCCGCAGAGATTGTTGCTACACCTTTTCCTGCTATGTTCGTGTGTGACCCCTCTGACACCAATCAGGTTCTTGATTCTGGAGCCCCACGTCACAGGACACCCAATGCTACTACCTTGTCCTCTCCCTAGCCTCATAATGGTACGTCTTCCGTTCTAGTTGGGAATGGTCAATCCTTATCTATTACTCATAAGGGTGATGTATGTCTGTCCAAGTCTCCTAATTCTAGAATTATTTTGTCTGATGTTTTGTGTGTTTCATCTCTTCGTAAGAATTTATTGTTTATTCATAAAATTACATCAGATACTGATTCTGTTTTCAATCTTGATTCGTCTGGCTTTGTTATCAAGGCAAAACGGATAGGTCAGATCTTCTCTTTGGTCATAGAAATAATGGGTTATACCAATTATCTTCTCCCATTGTCACTGCTCTTCCATCTGTTTGTGTATCATCTAATGTCTGGCATTGTCATCTTGGACACCTTTCCCTACTGTGCTTGCCTCTGTGTCCAATCCAGTTCAGGATCTCTCTGTCGATTGTCCAATATGTCCTCTTGGTAAAGGTTGTCGTCTTCCCTTTGGAAAACGAACATACACAACTAAATCTCCTCTCGAGCTCCTTTATCTTGATGTATAAGGTCTTGCTCTAGTTGTGTCATTGCCTTCTTTTAAATACTACTTATCTATTGTTGATAATTACAATCGATATACTTGGTTTTTTCCTATGTTTAAAAAATCTGATATCACTGAGATTTTTTGTAAATTTAAATTAATGGTTGAGAACCTACTTTCGTGTTCTATTAAAATTGTGCGTTTTGATGGTGGTGGTGAATTTGATAATAAATTGTTTTGTTCCATTCTTAAGTCCTATGGTATTACCCATCAACTGTCATGTCCTTACACTCCTTCCCAAAATGGTGTCGTTGAGCGGAAACACCATGACATAGTGGGAAAAGGACGTTGACTTTTATTACAATCTAACTTGCCACCATCCTTTTGGGTGAAGACATTTTCTACTGTTGTCTTTTTTATTAACAGGTTGCATACACCAGTGCTCAAGCATTGCTGTCCTTTTGAGGTACTTTTTCGGTGATCTCCTGACTATAGGTTCCTACGGACTTTTGGTTATGTCTGTTATCCATCACTCACCCTGGCTGCTGCTCACAAACTAGCCCCATGCTTTGCTCTCTGTATTTTTCTAGGGTATGACTTGTCACATCGTAGGCACCGGTGCCTCCATATTCCTACTGGCTGTGTATACATTTCTCAACATATGGTGTTTCATGAGACAACATTTCCTGGTTATGTCACTGTTGCCACTTCAACGCCACCTCATTCGGCTTTTCAACCTTTGTCTATTCCATCTGCAATGCTTCAGCTTTCTAATGCTCTTGGATCTGGGCTTACCTCTTCATCTGCACCGGCCATGCCACCATCATCTACCATTGCAGATCAATCTTCTGGTTCAATTCCATCTGACTCCACTAGTCTTCCTCAATCCCCATCAACTAGTACTCATTCTTCTTCCATTAGGGATTCCCAATCATCTCCCTTGACGTCTACAGATTTTGTGCCTCCTTGTTCTGCAACACCACTAACACCAATCTGTCATAGGTATCATAGTCTCTATGATATTATGGCCTCCTCACCTCATGTGCTTCTGCATGCTCTTACTGAAGAGACATTGGATCCTATGCTGCATGAACCGACATCCTTCAAGCAAGCACAATATGTCTCTCATTGGCATCAGGCAATATGTGAAAAGTGTAATGCCCTTTTGCGGAATAATACTTGGGTTCTTGTTCTACCTAGTCCTCATCAAAATCTTGTTGGTTGTTGTTGGGTGTACAAAGTTAGACGTCAAGTGGATGGGTTTGTTGAACAATACAAGGCCCGTCTAGTTGCAAAGGGTTTTCATCAGCAGCCTGGTGTGGATTTTGGTGATACCTTTAGTCCCATTGTTAAGCCTATCACTATTCACACTATTCTTGCTCTTGCCACAATGCATGGTTAGCTACTTCGTCAGCTTGATGTCAAGATGTCTTTCTCCAGGGTTATCTCACTGAAGAAGTATTCATGGAACAACCTCCCAGTTTCATTGATTTATAGCGACCATCTCATGTTTGTCGACTTCTTAAAGCTATCTATGGTCTTAAGTAGGCTCCTTGTGCATGGTACCATCGTTTATACTCCTTTTTTATTGATACCGGATTTACTAATAGCCGCTCTAACTCCTCTCTCTTCATCCGTCGAACATCTGGATATGTTGTGCTTCTTCTTGTCTATGTGGATGATTTGGTTATCACTGGTTCGAACCCCTCTACTATCACAGATTGTGTCTCTTCGTTATGTTATGTATTTGCCTGTCGGGACTTAGGCTCTATTGGTTTCTTTCTTGGCATGGAAGTTGTTCAGGATAATATTGTTCTGTGTTTGTCTCAGCAACATTATGTGGTGGACTTACTTAGACGCTTCCAACTTGATTCTTGTGCTCCATGTGCTACGCCCTTTAGCTCCTCCAAAGCATCACAATCCTCAAATGATGACCTTTTTCCTGATGTGACCCTTTATCGCAGTATGATTGGTGGTCTCCAATATCTCACACTCACCAGGTCAGACACTGCCTTTGCTGTTAATCAGGTTGCTCAAAGACTGTCTGCTCCCACTCAACATGATATGTGTTCTATCAAGCGGATTTTCCTATATCTTAAGGGCACACTATTTCATGGTCTCACTTTTCATCATGTTCATCTTCTTGCCTATTCTGATGTTGACTGGGTTGCTGATGTAATTACTCGTCGTTCTATCTCTAGTGGTTGTGTTTTTCTTGGTCGTAATCTGATATCTTGGACTGCTAAGAAGCAATATGATGTGTCTCGCTCCAGTGCTGAATCTGAGTATCGTGCTCTTGCCTATGTTATTGCTGATATTCGATGGTTTTGTTATTTATTACGTGAGCTTGGCATTCCCTTGTATTCTTCCTCTATGACAATCAATCAGCTCTACACATGGCAGCTAATTTTGTCTTTCATGCTCGCACTCGGCATATCGATATCAACCTACACTTCATTCGTGAGTTAGTTGCCCGTTGGGCCCTTTGTCTTCGACATATCCCCACTGCCTCTCAGCTTGCGAATATATTCACCAAAGGCCTATCTCGTGAGCAATTTCAATCACTTTGTCTTCAATTGCAGCTCCGAGATCTACTTCTTCAATTGTGGGGGAGTATTAAGGAATAAAATCATTCTAATTTTATTTCTTTATTATCATGAATATTATAATATAGTCTTTCCTTATAGTTTTGATTGATTTTATTATTAGGATGTCTTTCCTTATAGTTTTGATTAATTTCATTATTACGATGATTGTATTTCCTTGAATAGAATATGTTGAACCTATATATTGTACACCTTTATTAATATTGAATACACAAGCTTTTATACATTTCTTCATAAATGTGCATATTTTTTAAATTAAACTAAAGATGTAAAAAACACCCAGCTTGGCCTGCGCCCCGAGTGCCTTGGCCTGGGCCCAAGCCTACATTACACCTGGACCCAAGCCTGGACAATAGGCCCAGGTATACTCGAGTCAGACCGGGCTTTGGTACGAAAACCTCAAAACCCCCTAAAAATGACACAAAAGTTTACACCCATACCCCTTTTATCACGTAAAATTACTATAACCCCGTATTAAATTACCTACAGCCCCCACTGATTTGAGTAAAATTTTAAAAACCCCTCCTCAATTAACCTAACCCGGCCCTGAAGCCCTGTGTCTCGACCTAGGTTTTACGAACCTGAGCTTTTTCCCAGATCTAGGATTTCAAATATTAAATGGGGGTGTTTGACGAAAACCCCCGAACCTTAACGCATGTCGCATGCCCAACAATTTCTAAAACCTATGGGTAGTTTATGTAAGTTACTCAAACTATTTGCCTATCAGAAGTTTCATGTCACCAGTTAAAAACCATCACATATTTATCGTAACAAGAGAAAATGAATATGCCTCTAATCGCAGACATTAGACTCAGGTGAAATCAAAAGCTATTACAACTGTTACAACATATTTATAGGCTAAGGAGTCAAATTCGCCAACAAAGAGCTTCCGACAACTGGAAAAATCAGTGTTCATCTTGATGAATATCAAGAAATACAGTGAGTTATGTTACACCCTAATGCTGAGTACAGCCAACAAAGCACTTCAACCGAATCGGTATGGAGAACTCTTATCTCTAAAATGAAGCCCCAACCCAATCAGCATACTCAATACCAATTCAATTGTGCGTCAGGCAGCTTGATTTGATCCAATATAATGTACATTAAATAAGTGCTATAAGCAGATAAACAGGCGACAGAACTTGTTTGATTCACTCACCTCTTTCAATGTCTACACACTGCCAAACAAAGAACGGCGTATAGATACTGCAAAATCACTAACCTTGTGAGGGTGGAGGAGAACAACACATATCCCAAAACAAACAGCGGTAACAGCAATCACAAATATAGTCGGATGAGAACTCAAGACGCTGCCAGTGAAAATGTGACCACACGATTTCCTTGGCCATTCTTTGACAAGGTTCACATTCATGACAACCTCACTGCTCAAAAGTGGAACAATTTCACCAGTATCAGTAGCATTTGAAGCCACCATTGCTCCAACCTTACCCTTCAGTGTGGTCTCCAAATCCTGTAAATTACAGAGCATATGATCAACTACGGCTAGAGCAATACACAATGTCAGAAACATTGAATTACAATATTGCGAAGTCCTCACCTGATTGGTAATGGAAACAAGCACATTGCTTGTGGTCGTGGAGCAGCTTTGAGAACAATGACTCTTTTCTGTTACAATGTTTCCAGACTGAGGAATTATTTCTCCATTTTTCTGAAGTTTTTGATCAAGAATATCTCTCACATGATCCATATACCCAAGCAATAGCCCGATATCAGAGTCCATGGTGACCTTGATCCCTCTGTTTAACCCCGTGTTATCCATCAAAATCTTCAAATTTTGCAACATTTTCTCCATAATGGCGGTTGACTCATAGTTTAACAGGAAGTTAAACAAAGAATTAAATCTCTGAACTTGTGAAGAGGACATAAACTGCTGAAAGCTTTCTGATGCCGGTACCTTCAATAACCATGCTATGTCTAAAACAAGTTCTGTAAAAGCTGTTTGTCTCAATGTAGAAACCTCACACAAATCAAAAAGAGAACCATTAGACACAGATGGAGCTCTCTCAGGAAAGTGAGAAGCTTCAAATCTGTCTTGTATTATCCTCATTTCACAACAAATTTCTTTGTCCCCAATGAGTACAGGTATGAAGTTCGATAAGCCAGACTCATTCTCAACCTACAAAAAGAAAATTTGTGGGGGAAAATCCAGAGTAATAAGTCAGTAACCATTTTCATGCTAGAAAATTCACACTGATTTGAGTAAATAAATTTATACTTCATTGCAGATGAAATGATTCAATTCAAGAAGTGATTGTACAAGTAAATTTAGGATGCATACCAAAGCTAGAAGTAGTAATAGGGGATATGATCAATTTTTGAAAGACAGATTGAATAGAAGGGTTTATAGCACTAGGAAAGAGGAAGACATCCATTCTTTGCGGGATAGAATTTGAATTTTGACTTTCCTTTGGTATCAGTGATTGAAAAATCTGAGATTCTTTGGGGATTTTTTTTTTTTTTTTTTGACATTCATTTAATCTGGGATGGAGTTTTGGGTCTGTTAAGTTTTCATTCTAGGGAGCTTTTGGCTGGTTCTCTTAAAGTTTTTTGACGATTTTCTTTTCTGGGCTGTTTGGTATACATTACAAATAATTTTCTCTTGTTTTTTCAAGCTTGTCCTTCTTTAGTTGAATGCTTGTTCACTTTTTTTATAGCTCCTTTTATTAATAAAACTTTCATAATTTCTTATTAAAAAAAGTATATGGAACAGTCGAACAGATACTAACATGAGACAAAAAAGTACATGAATTTGCTAAATAGAGGCTATCCTTATCACACTGCTAAAGCAATAAGAGCATGCTGAAACTATCAAACAAGATCGTTGGATCAATTTAATGCCTGAAAATTTGTCTCCCTAAAAAATAACAACCCTGGACCATCAAACATGTACAGACAGTATAAACTAGACCTAAGGCTATGCAAATCATACATGACCTCGGATATAATCAAGGGCCCCTCCAGAATAAATTTCCTGGCTCTGCCACTGGATATGATTGTTATGTCTCAGAATGATACATGCTTAAGTCTGACAATCAGAAGTTGCATGACTTTACAGTTATTACAAAATCAGCCTGCTATAAAACCACATTGTTAAGGATAACTACCCTCCAAAAACAGCTAAAGTTGCTTTTTGAATTCTTTGGGTGGTAGGACTTTTTACAATACATACCTCAATAAATGCAGGACCAAAATGATCTGGTTCAGTGTGCGGTACATATATCTTGTACAACTGGTGGTCAAAAGCAAGAGGATTCCCTTCACTTTGACCATGCGAAGATGCAACACAACAATCATAAGGCAGATACTTTCCAGCAAAAGATATTAAAAACCTGCAGCCATGACCATCTCCTTAAGGTCTTACATTATATAGTTCAAGATTCATTGAGAGAAACAAACTGAAGCATAAAATTAAAGTATCCAGTAAAGATCTAGTTAAGAGGTTTCATGTGTACTGCTGACAGTATGTGCTGACAGACTATTACTACAGATATAGCAAAGGTAATACAGGTAGATATTAACAATGCATCACTATAAGAAAAAAATGACATAAGTCATAGTGACCACACCAATAATGCCCAATATAACCCCATACATATCATATCTTAATGGCCACAGTTTTCAGTCTATAAAAATTACTAAAACAAAATGGATTTAAGAAATATGAATAGTAAAAAAAAAATAATTAAGAAATAATTGACAACCAAGTAGTTGTCAAACTTAAATTGATCAATTAATAAACAACACAACTGAAACCAAAGTGCACATAATTTATTGAAGATAACAATGACATACCGAAGTTTGTGTTGAAGCAAATTACTTCCACAAGCAACAAACTCCATGGGCTTGCCAGCCTCAAAACATGTAGGATGGACATAGTGAAGCCTTGGGGCCTTCACCTCTACATTGACTTTCACCACAGAAGTTCCATCTACATCCATCAAAGGGGATAATAATAAGAAGCTGTAACATATCGAAAACTTTAAAGTATGTTCAAACAGAACCATCTGAGACCAGAGACAGGAAGTAGAATTCTGAGATGATGTGACAGATAAAGGGATGCTTCTCTGAACAATACTTGCAAATCCATAATTTCTATAGACAAGAACACCGAATAACAAACATATAAAGAAACGGAAAAAGTAAAAAAGAAGATTGTGATACACATATCAGAAATTTTATGCATTGTCATTTTACCTTTAACATGGAAAATCATGTTGTTCAGATGAACAAATATAGAGCCTCTTCCAGATAACATCCTTCCAGGTGTAACAACAAAGTCATGCAGATATGTTATAGGATCTTCATATAACTGCTCAATGCAACAAAAACTTGTATTAAATTATGAAACTTTCAGGAAAGAATAATAAACATTAAAGGAAAAAGAACAAAAATTCTAACGACAGGGAATTCTTCATAAGGCTAACAAGCAAGAAACTAGAAACTTCAACATAAGTAAATTATATTCTCACAAAGATGATGCTCCTAAAAGAACAAGGGAATGATTATGAGAAGAAAATAATTTTAAATTGCAACATAAATGCTCAATATATATTTCGTTTTTAGGTTTAGATGAGATCACTATACATCATAATATCGTTACGAAAAAATCTTGTTAGTAAGAATAAAAAAGGAAAGTGATTCCCTCTGGCTTGTTTAATTCAAAGAAAGAAAGAGACTGAAGAGAAAGCGGAAAAACAAAGAAGACCCTTTCAGAAATAATTGCTTCATTTACTTATCAATGTTTCTAGAAAGAAAAAATAAAATAAAAAATGCAGGTCTGGTGGGAAAAAAATTTCTTCAGATTTTCATTTTCCAATCATTGGAGGAATCTATTGCTTCTTTTGGTTTTCACATCCTACCAAACAGAATGGAATTTAGCCATCAAATTAGAGCATCAATTACATTAAGGGAGATTTTAAGAGCTCAGGAGATAATTGGCTGCATTTTCCAAAAGAAAAGAAAAGGAAAGAACCCTTGTCGTTAGTTCTGTCATTTATAAAAACAAAAACTATCCTTAATCTCATAAAGGTACTGCCTGCACTAAACCCCTGACAGCACCACCATGTTAACAAGGTTAGTTTCGGATGACACAGGGCAGTATTGCATGAATGATATAAACAGGCATTATCAAATTCAGCACAGCAGATAAGAGGAATGTTTCTCAGTCAATTAGGATAAAAATAACTTTTTCACTCATCATATACACAGGAGTTCAAACAAAAATAAACAATTGATTCATGCCTTTCTTGTTTACTTAGTACCCAACAAGGATATATAAAAGACCAGCAACAAGACATTTTACACCTCTGAAGCAAGGTAACCTTCCAACAGATGATAATGAGCATTGCTCAGACTAAAAATAAATCAATCAATCATATATCGAAAATATTATAGTCCAGAAGACTAACTTCATTACAATCCTAAAAGGAACTGTATGTCAAGCATTTAATCAAATCATTACCTTCAACCACATAATCTTGGGCATGGCAATAAATACAGTCAAGATTGTACATCCAGGGCGAATATACCCCTCCAACTCAACTGGCATGCTGGCCAACCATTGGAATATCTGCAAATACATACATCAAGGTGTTAAAAATTCCTAATATCTATGGCTGCAAAAACCATTATTTTCCTTGCAATACTAAACTGCAGTAATAATTCTTTAAAGTACTTGGTGCCGTAGTCTTCTAGGAAATTCCGCTGGATTCCAATCATATAGCTTGAATGAGATTCGACCTGTTGGACACTATAATCATGCACAAATTAGTACATTAAAAGCACAGCTCATCACATTGACAAAACTGAAGAGGCAATGTTTAAGTACAGCAATCAGCGGAGACCCACCAAGGACGAATTAGCACTCTTATTCTCACAATAGGAAGGCGAATGCCCTTTGGAGTCATCTTTTCCTCCATCAGTTTGGATTTCACCAGAAGCAGCAAAAGACACTCCACTATCACTGTTAACATTCTGGGAATTAGGTGCTGAGTGAAGAGTGGAAACATGGCCATCTTCAGACTCAAAAAATGGTTCTTGATCAGTTATCTGGCTGCTCAAGCATAAACTATCTGCATTATGATAATTTATATCAGTCCATAAAGCAATTGTCAAAGGAAGGAGGTATAATTATGTTATCTGTTGATTCAAATCAGAAAAAAAAAAAAATTACAAAGAAGCGATTATTTGAATAACTAGCTGCTTGCTTCAAATTTATGATACCTTTTCCTAATTCACTCTCACAACCAAGATCTTCACTCTGCGTGGCCCCTAGAGGTTCATTGTCCATAGCACCTTTAGAGTCAACAGATTTTCTTCGTCGTCTATTGTTGTGTCGCTCTAATTTTCTCCTGCAACTTCTTTTACCTTCATCAAAATCTGATAATACATGAAACCTGCAAAATAATTGGCACCCAAAAATACCATCAAGTTACAATAGACCAAAAGATCAGTCAGTCAACATTCACCCTCAATATTACAAACTACTCTCAAATCACAAAGACACAACTTCACAATAAGCTCCTGATATTGAATTTCAAATCACTCTATAAACCTAGCAATCCAACCAATACCAAACATTTGAAATCAGAATCCGAAACAAGCTTGATAAATTTCAAAAACGATCTCTACAAATTCAAACAGTTGCACAAACTGTCATCAAAATCCTAAAACCATTTGTCTATTCAAACCAAATTAACATTGACGGAAACAAGAATGTAACGAATTTGATGTTTTAGGTTCAGTTACACTTCTAATACGTAGCTCAACTTAAGAACTAACAAACTAATAAACATATAAAGCGTAACCAGAAAAAAGATTGAGCTTTACTTGCCACACTGTTGACAATATCTCTTGCTTTCACCATCAAGCAAAACGGCACTCGCATTTGCGCACCGAAGACAAACCCTATGCCTTTTATGATAACCTTTAAGCTCACTAATATCCACCTCACAACCGGGCACTTGACACCTTGCCTGGCCCGACCCGGTCCGCACCGTCCGCACACGCTTCTTCCCAGGCAGAGTCGCTTCCTCCTCGGCAAGCATCGCGTCAACCTCCGGACACGCACAAGGGATCCGACCCGCTAAAAAATTAGAACAAATCAACCTCGGGTCCCGTTTCCTCACCTTGTTCAAAGACACAACCGGCGGCTCCGGTTGAGGCTCCGTTTCAGGATTTAACTCAATTTGGTCGGAGACTATAGGAAGATCAAAGCGATCGTCCGTGGTGAAGTCGAGGAGATCGCTCCAGTCCCACAGCGCAGAAGTTGAACGCTCCTCCTCCGTCACGTGCGGCTCCATCTCCGGAAATCTGGGGCTTTCAACGCCGTGTGGTTCCATCTCTCTTGGAGTTGAAACTTAAGAAAAGTAAATAATAATAATAATAACAATAATAACAACAAAAGTAAAGAAATAAAAAAATGGAAGAGTCGCTTGAAAGTGGGTGAATGGCAGCGGAGGTTAGCCTCGTTAGGTGGTGGCTGGGTCGAACATATTATTTTTTTAATCTTAATTTTGAAAAATGAGTTTATGGTGGCGACATGAAATTTGTTGAGGCCACGCGCTGGTAGTGGCACGCGCTGGTTTGGTGGGGTTTAGGTGGGGTTGCGTGTGAGTGGGGCGTGTGGGAATTGGTGGTTAAGGGATCTTTGTCAAAGGGTGATGTTAAAATGCGGTGACGACATGTATATACCCCCAATAATGATGGGTGCGTAGAAGAGTGAACAACATATTCCCACCCCAAGGTTTAGGAAAATCTCAAGTTAATATCCTTAGTTTTATTTATTGCAAATATCCACCCTTAAAGTAACACCATTAGTGATTACTAGGAACTGGCAGGTGCTATTACCAAATTGTCCATCACCCCATTTCAGACCACTACCATAGTTGATCAAACCACCACCACACCCAACGATTTTAGCCATTTTCCACCTAAAATAGGTCCCTCACTCTTCTCTACACCTTCTTTTCCTTTCCCCACCACTGTTGCTCCAGTCGATCGCCAAAAAATGGTGACCGTTCATCTTCGCAACCCGCCTTCTTTATAGCCACTTTCCGATTGACTCCCTCATTGGAAATCCACCCAACTACCACCATTCGAACCCCCATTTCCCCCCCTCTTTAAAACCCACCCCTCACATCACCTTCCCTCACTCACCATTTGTCGTCGACTGGCCCTTCTTTTGTCGCCCTCAAGTTGTTTGTGGAAAGTTTGCAATAGGTGGGATGTTGGTGCCTAAAATCAACTGAAATTTGGACAAGGAGAAGTGATTGGGCGAAGCAAAAAGTTGCGATGGCCTACAATTTGTGGGATCTACAGGGTGAGGGATAGAGCAGTTTTGGTGTAGTGGGTTTAGGGATCAGATGGTGGTGGTAGGGGGTGAAGACGCCGTTGGAATCAGGTGAGGGCTAAAACGGCATCACACAAGGGTTTTTTTTGTAGATGATTTTTTTTTTTTTTGGATGGAAAAAGAAGAGGATGGGAGGAGGAGGTGGAGGTGGAGGTGGAGATGAGGAAGAAATATGAAGGGAAGAGGAAAAAATGTCTGTTTTACCCTTCCAACCTTAAAATAAAGCGAGTAGAGTTAGTTTAAGGGTACCAACTTGGGATTTATCTAAACCTTGGGTAGGAATATGTCGTTTACTTTTTTGTTAATTTATAAACTTTTATTGTGGGGGTGTTTAGCTAAATTGACAAATGTAGGAGGTTGAAAAATAATCTAAATATTTTAAGAAAAATGTTTTTCAAAAATGTACCAAACACTATTTTAATTTTTATCTAACTCTGATATAATTTTTAGATATTATACCAAACAGATTCTCAAAATATTATCTTATTTGATTTAATCTTATCATATCCTATTCAAATAATTTCTCAAAATAGCATTTTTTCAAATAACCTATCAAACATGCCCTATATTTTTAATATCTTTTAGTGAAATCACATTTTAAATAGTATAAGTTATGAAAATAAAAAGACATTATACATATGTAGTTTGTAGGGGTGAACGGGTGCGGGTACCCGACATTTTTTTAAGGAACTGAAATCGAAACTGAAACCGCCCGATTTTAACAACCCACAGTGAGGTAACTTATTTATGCTATAATGCCCTTAGTTTTGCTTGTTTTAAAGTGAAAGATTGAAAATTAGAATTTTGCAAACTTCATCACGGCAAAGGAGTTTTGTCGTCACGGCATTGTACACACTGCCCAAATCGAATCTTAGAATTGCAGTCTTCGCCATGGCAAGGAAGAAAGTTTGCCGTAGCAACGTACACTCTGGAATGTTTCGCTGAGGCGAAGAAGCTTAGCCAGGGCAAAGAACTTGTTGGGATTTTTTAGAAAATTCTGGAAAACTTCCTTAAGGGCAAAAGGGTCATTCCACTCAGAATTAGTTGAAAATGTGGGGAGAGAAAAGTAGTAGAATTTCATGAAGAATGTAATGGAAATAAGGGCATTATTGCAATTGACTAAAGGGCAAAGATGGAATTTCATGAAAAGTGTAAGGGCAAAATGGGAAAGAATAAGTAATAAATGAGATATTAAGGGTTCAAGAATGAAAACCCTACCATTCTCTACTCCCTCACACGCCACTTTCATTCCTAAATTCTCTCAATTTTTTCATCAAATTTCCAAGGCAATTTAGAGGATTTTTGGTTGGATTTTGGTAGATATTTAATCCTAAGCATCCAATGGTAAGAATTCTTGCAATAAGATATGAGATTAATTTTTAAGTGTTGAATTCTTATAGTTTATATGCTTAGGGTTTAAGAAGAAAAGGAATTCTACCAAGGAGAGAGATTCTAGTGTGGAACTACCCAAGTTCAAGGTAAGTAAATCCAACCTTAGCCCTTGATTTGAGCAATAATTATGTAGAGGATTTCTTATATGTAATTATGGTTGTTGAGAATTGTTGATGGAATTGATGATGATTCATGGTTAGAATTTCACCATGAGGAGTGATGATTGTGTTTATAGAAATGGATGGAAGTTTGGATGAGCTAAGAAAGAATTTGAGTAGAGTTATGGAGTGTATTTTCCTGGCCATGTTTGTATTTGTTTTTAGGGAGTTTTGCTCCAAAATTTTGGTGGTTAGAGATTGTTATGGAAGTGTAATCACCTTAGTGTTTTATTTGTGTATATAAAGTGTTTGATGAAATTTCATAGAGAAGTGCATGTATGAGTATGTTGATTTATCTTTTGATATGAGTTTGTAGATGGTAGACAAAGTAGAGAATGACATGTTTACATGCCATATTGCATCACTTAAGAAGAAGAAGAACTTTTATAGTCCGTAAGAGTGCATGTAGAGGAGGACTGTACTCACTAACATGGCCAGGGTTCCGAATCCATGCCTTAACCAAGTCCGATCAGCAAAGAATAAGAAAGAAAGAAAAGAAAGAAGAAAAACACAGAAAGAAAGAAACACAGAAAAGAAAGAAAAACAAAATAAGAAATAGAAAAACAGAAAGAAGAATGCACATCCTATGCATTTGTGCATTTGCATCATGCCTATGCATGAAACAATGCTTACTATCATGAGTAGTGAGAAATTAGAAATAGAGAAAGAATTGAGAGAATTAGAAACAGAGAAAGAACCAAGAAGAATAGAAAAGTGTGATGTAAGGAAAGAAATTCAGAATATGAGCAACGGAAATAGAAAGGTATCATAGCAGATTTACTTACTGAGCAATTAGTGCTCACTTCGTTGATTTCTCTGTTTTTGCAGGAAATAAGTGAGAAGCAGTCGGAAGGAACGTCGAGAGCGGAGGAGAATGGCACTACTGTCCACTGTATTTTGAGATTATGTATATGATACTTTTGTTGTTGTAAATAATTTAGTATATAAAAATAAAGAAATTTGTGGGCCCACTATCTTCAACTTATATACTTATATGTTTTTATAATGTATTTAGTGAATTCATATTATATTTTCCAAAGTCTACTAACTAGAAAGAGTTATTACACGATTCCTAAGATTTGGAACTGGAACCGAAACCTGAAACATAGGTTCCAATTTTGGTTCCAAGTACCCTATAAAATTACATTTTACCCCCTACAGTTTAAAAAGTGACAAAAAACCCTTAAAAATTACAATACCCCCCACCTGTTAACAAAAATTACAAATACAGCTTCCACCTCCAATTCAACTTTATGGAAACTAAAAATTACAATAAACCATTGAGAAATTACAAATTCCAAAATTAAAATTATAAAATTATAAAATAAGTATGATATGGTATAGAAAATAGTGTATATGTAATTAATTTGGTGGATGTGTCACTATAACTTGAAGTGATCCTTTCTAAGAGCTTTAAAATAAATATTTGATGTACAATATGCTTATAAAGTCTTGCATATGAAGTGATTTGTTATTATTCTTCTATTAACATATCAATAACACAAAAATACATTTACCCTGTTTAATAGAAAGAAATTTCATCAACTCATATGAATCATAATGTTACTAAATTCTATCTGATCAAGTTTATTTAGATCAAAATTTCTACTCAGTGAATTGTCTCAAAACACGTCATCATCATAAATACTATATAGTATAATTATTTTTTAATATCATGATTTTTTAAGAACTAACCTCCATTTATAATATTATATAGTATAATTATTTTTTATTATCATGATAATTATTAAATTTACATTTTATTAGTAATGAGCTTATAAATAAAAATAATATTACTAGCAACAAATATTAAACTAGTTATGTATCTCAACTTTGATAAGTTTACACAAAAGTAATTAGTTCACTTATAATACTACTTATATAAGGAAAAACGCAAGAGTTAATCTTAAAAGGGGAAAGTTAAATAATTTAATATGTTTATAGAAAAAATTAGTAAATGGGATGGTAGCTACAGTAATTACATATACGTTTGAAAAAGCAAGTAATAAGTTCAAATCTAGGAACATAAACACTAAAACACACTTATAATCCGGTCAAAACAAATACCAATTAAAATTAATTAATTTTGTTTATAGTGGCTCATAACCACCACTCGCCTCTTTAACAAGTTCATCCATATACTTATAGATGAAATTTAATCTAAATTTTATAATAAAACAAATTCAAAATTGAAATAATTCTTATTAAAAAAAATTGGCAATAACAATGATGCACTTGATTGTATGGGATTTTTTTCCCTAGGCAACCTCCATTGAATGTAAGTAAGAAACTTGATGGGTTGGGTTTGATCACAATTTCCCAAACAATTGAATTCTATGAAAACTCATTTAAACCAACCCATTTCCCGTACTCAAAACTCAACATGAAATTCAACTTCTCTCTTTTCCGTACTCAAAACTCAACATGAAATTCAACTTCTCTCTTTTACTTTCTGTTGATGCTTGATTTTGACACTAACGATTCATACGTGCAAAGTGTTAAGTTGGCTTAGAAATTACACGTGAATGGAAAATACAATGAAGTAAATGGAAAATGATTTTTAAAGTGGTTCGGAAGCTTAAAGC